CCCGAGTTAGGTTCCCCAGTCAGGGAACCTAACGAGACCTTTATGACCCAGTTCCCCGGTTAGGGTTTTCATACCCTCGCGTCAGGTTTTAGTTTGACCATCTCTGGCCTTTTTTCCACCCACTGCCTGCCTGAACACTTCGAGGCTTAGTTCAATTAGTCTCCATCGACATCTGACCTATCACTGCCCACATAGACTGGGCAAATACTCCCAGCTATGCCGGTCCTCTATCTGAAAAGGAGGTTTCCCGGAAAATAAGTTATCTCATAAGGCATGTGTTACGCATATTACCGAATAGGCTGCCACGGCGAGCAGTTTATCGAGGCAGGTACTGAGTAAAATAAAGCCAAGGGCGGTCAAACCAAGACCTGGCAACAGAGTAGGAAAGCCCTAACCACGAGACTCGGCCACATAGTTCCCGTTAGGCTGGGGACCTNGGATGATTGTAACCGGTAGTTAGAGATACTGAATGATATGGCCGAATGTCGTAAACAGTGGAGTTCGTTCATCTTTTCAATTTCTGTGCAATCATAGTTTACTAGGGTTCTCAATTTTCTCTTTGACTCTACTTTCAACTTTGCTATCTGTCTCTTGCAGTTCATCCCAATGGGCGGCCAAAGACCGCAACCAAAACCGGCGCACGAAAGTACATGGTTAATGGTTGTACAAACTGAAACTGAATCCTGTAATCCCGTTGGGATGAATTTATGAGTGATATTTTCGGTTTGATTTTTGACGATTGACTTGTGCGATTCTATTGAAATTTAAATATATATCACCTTTATATATCACCAAGTTTCCCGAATTTGGTGATATGTATAATAATAAGAAAAGCCCCTAGAAAGAACAATATTTTCTATCCACTTCTACTTCTGTGAAGATGCATATCAATTCTACATAGCTTCAAGCAAAATTTTCTGCTACATATTGTTTTCAGAGACCAGTGATACTTCTGGAACCACTGCATACCCTGGGGTTACTTAACCTACGCGCATTGGTTTGCAGTCTTCAATCGCGGTTTTTCAGCTCCTAATTTTCTAAACTTTGTATAAATTTGTTTACTGAATAGCCCAAAAGCAAGTCCCAGCAGCCATGTTACGTTATCATTTGATCAGAAAGGGTATTTGTTATTGGTTGAACTACAGGCGATAGGGAACAGCGTAAACAAGGCATATTTACAAAAGCCGTCGAGATCATGTTGTAGATTTTTTTATTACACACCTAGCTGTGATGAACAGCAGACGGAACGGACCCCATAGTCACGAGGACCTGCTGTTCAGTGATTGAAATCGGCGACCTAAGCTCTGGGACTTGGAATGGCGAACCACACAAGGCCCCGATAGGTTAGGCGTGGTACTGAACCGGACGAGAGTAGAGCTGCCTGCGACCAAAGTCGGGTGGTGGTTGCGGGGCTCGAACCTCGGACCATAGGGTCCAAAGCACACCGGTGACAGCGACTAAATCACTGCATCACCACCACCACCCAAATTGGTTCATTCTCTCTTACCAAATCCACATAAACCCAGATTTTTGTGGTGCATCTGGCAGAGCTCTTGCTTGATGGTCCACCTGACTCCTCTGTGTATTGTAGTGATACTATTGAGGCACCAACACTATCTGATCACTCGTGTCGTGTGGGGGTTGAATGGAACAACTGGTCAACATGTCTGACAGTTTTGAGACCTGGATCAACAGTTGAGATCGTTTTGTATAAGTACACCCATATTGTGACATGAATGAACAGTGAAAAGACTGAACCTGATGTTGTAATATCTGAATCTGAAACCTGGAAAGACAGGGCTTGAAATCACAGTCCACATCTGCTTTGACTAGGACCGGTGCAAGTGAATGAGATTAGAGAACATGTTATTATGAAAATGAACTGTTTCGCTCATATAGTGTGGTTTCAGTAGACAGCCACAAACGTACACATACATCCTTGAGGGCTCAGTGCTGGCGACTCACCAATGGCTTAGAGGAGACTAGAATGTTAAATGCAGTTGTGATAAAGTGTAGCTGAATCAGTTTGTAATTGTGTACAGTCTAATCTTCTATTGTGCCTTTTTATGATGGCGGATTGAAGCTATATGTTGCTTTCCCCAGTGGCTCATTAAAAAACATGGTGATTTTTAGTACCATAATAAACACAGAGACCAATAATAAGTAATGAGGCGAGATGTTTTATCAGTAGGTCATGTGAATACAAATTGTGAACGAGGAAGTAGATTAGGATTTGGTCTTAAAAATGCCTCAAAATTTGGTTTGAGATTACGTGATTTGGTGGTCTGCTGTCTCGCAGGTGATGAGATCTTGATTTTACCTATGTCGTCTAGGTCAATTGTGCGATTAAAATCATCAGTCGCTAGGTTTTGTCCATGTAGATATCGTTACAGCCACAGGTAAACTTGGAAATAATGTGTGAAGCATTGAGATCAGTCTAATCTCAGACCTTTTGTAAGGGACATTATGCGTCTCAGTGATAATCCCAAATCGGATCATTCTCCGTTAAAATATCAGGACTAGACAGACTCTCTTCATTTACGGGAACAGGTTCAACTAATTTCCTCGTTTTGCTAAGTTGGTGTTTAATGGGGTTTTTTTGATGCTCTTTTGAGTAAAGTTTGCCGGGTAAAATTCTCTGTTTTGTTTTCTTCAGTCAGTGTGGCATGTAAACTATAGTGGCCACTGAAAAATGGTTCTGATGACCACCGGTTATTCAAGGTACCGGATCAAAAGAAGGTGCTTTCAGTTGACTTACACTTGATAATGCATCCTGATTTGTCTTCCGGTTTCTGTTTATATTTTCAATTGTCCTTCTTAGAATGCAATCGACAGGTCAGTAAAATTTTTCAACTTTAAAACGATAACCAATTCACATTTCGTAACCTATCAAATCATCTCTATTGTTTACCTACTCAGGGTATCGATTGGAAATGTGTGCGTTACATGATTGCGGAAATTCAGTACGGTGGTCGGGTCACGGATGATTTTGATCTCCGCCTATTGATCACCATCACACGAACCTATTTCCAAGAACGTATGTTCACACCGGAATTCGAGCTCAGTGCAAACTATCCGATACCGCGATTTACCACCCCGGGTGAATATTTGGCCTATATCAGTCAGGATTTGCCTCAACGAGATAGTCCCGAGGCGTTGGGTTTGCATTCGAATGCGGAGATCACCTATTCGGCTCAAACAACCAGTTACATCCTGTCCACCATCGTTTCCATTCAACCAAAAGAATCAGCCGCCGATTCCGGGGATGATAGCGGTGCGAGCGGAGGCAAACCGGTCGTGGTCGAGACCAGGGAAGCGATTGTGCATCGTATGTGCACAGACATGCTGTCCAAATTGCCCCCGGCCTATGTGGCTTTCCGGGTGGCAGAACAGATTGAGGCGTTGGGCGCGCTAAAANAAAACCGATGACAATCTTTTTGCGTCAAGAGGTGGATCGTATTAACAAAGTGATCATTTTGGTCGGCAGCATATTGAACGATTTAAAACTGGCCATCGACGGGACAGTGGTGATGAATGACGTGCTGAAAGATGCTTTGGATTGCATATTTGACGCACGTGTCCCGTCAGTCTGGACTCGGGTAAGTATGCACTGAGTTTGTTATCTGAGTGAATCAGTTGCATGCAATTTTGCATCCACACATTACAATAAACTAAACATATAGAAAATGCATAAACTGGGAACAAGATGAAAACATTTAACCTCACTTTTTGCTTTTTTGTTTAGTTGACGTGTTGGATTTGACTAGTGATTATTATTATTATTATTATTAGCAGTAGTCGCAGTTTGAACAAAACTGACAATGAAGACAGGTTTTCTTTTGAATGTATCACGTATGAAAGAATACTGTTGATATTTGTTTGATTGAATTCAGTCAATCATGTAGAAGCGAACAAGCAAGCAAAATGGATGTTTAGTGATAAGTTGCAGAATTTGAAACGAGACGAATTAATCACTGCAGCTTTTTATAAGTCAAAGACTGAACAGTTATGGAAGAAGCTCACAGTGACTTGGAAGGTAGGGGTTACTTAAATGGCCGCAGTGATGCAGGACGCAGAAAATAAAAGATGATATTAATATGCTATCAATTCTGAAAGTGTACTGCCCAGTCTATCCGTTATTACTACCATTTTTAGACGTCCCAGGACGCTAAGACAGCTACCTCGATGTGGTTGTGCGTGGATCGCCGACTGTACTGGTCACTGATTAGTGCAGTCTATCGACTTATTGATCGGCTGAGACAGCTGAACGGCCACTCTAGTCATGTGACTTGGCGATCTAAAGACGGTGACGCGCTTGTCTGAACATCGCTTACAGAGCATCTGCTTAGTGCGAATGCATGACTGAACGCATACCAACGCTAGAATGCTAATAACAAGAATTGATGTCGTCGCAGAACGAGTTGGAGTCAAAAGGTAAATAGATATCTTTTCAGTATCCTACCTGGGAAAGAGAGACGACGACGACGTGGGTCAGTGTTATCATCTGGTTTCGCATTCATTGCGATCGTACCTTGATGGATTGCACGAGTAGAGTCTGTGTTACACATATCACCAGATAGACTTTGAACACCAATGAGCATTTGACCTATTTCCATTACAGGACTGTCCACTTCAGTGAGACTACCATTCCTGGAAACACCAACCAAATTGAGATGAGCGCGTAAATGACTTCAGTTCCAACAGATCCCTAAAATACTGCTGAATGAGTTCAGTGTATTTCAGTTTTTACCTTTTTAGCTCCGGGCATATAGAAGTTAAACCGAAAAACAAAAAATCTCCCAACCTCCTGTTCGTCTTGGTTCACTGATATGTAATTAAATCACGCACTATGTTTGGAATAACTCAATCTTCATATTTTTACATCCATTCTGATTGTGTATTATTTTCCCGGCATTCATACCCATATTAGAGTTCCTGGGATTCGACAACACTCGGATTTTGGTACACGGAACTGATCGAGCGAAACGCGCAGTTCAGTTCATGGCTTGAGAATGGACGTCCCATCTGTTTCTGGATGACTGGATTTTTCAATCCACAAGGTTTTCTCACTGCTATGCGTCAGGAAGTGAGTCGTATGCATGAGGGCTGGTCTTTGGACAGTGTGATTTTGGCCAGCAAAATGACTCGAGCCAATGCGGAAGATTTGAAAGAGCCCCCGTCTGAGGGTGGTGTCTATGTGTACGGTCTGTTCCTCGAGGGAGCCGCATGGGATCGACGCAGTTCGCGGTTAGTGGAACCGAAACCGAAAATCCTTTACGATTCTATGGCCGTATTGAACATTTTCGCTGTCCAAGAATCTCAAGGCGGTAAACGACCGGGTGGAGGTGGTGGTGGATCCGCCGGTAGCGAGCCGAAGGGTGACGCGCCTAGACAAGTGTACTCATGCCCAATCTATAGGAAGCCGAGACGAACCGATCGCACATACGTGGCCAGTGTGGATTTGGGCTGTACAAAAACCGCGGATCATTGGATCATGCGCGGTGTGGCTATACTCTGTGATATCAAATAAATCCAATTCATTGGACCTCGTTGAGAACCTGGGAGAGATCGATCAGGGAGATTGTTTGGTTCTCCCAGTATCTCCTTCTTGGGTTTGCTTTCTTTTCGTTCCCGATACAATTGATTGATTCTTGACTGGCGCGTGAGCTGAAACGATGCTACCACTGATCATCCATACACATTTCTGGTCAATGAACCATGCGGATAACTTTGTGAATTGTCCTTGGATTTTGATTCTGTGCACAAAACTAAGCTAGGCTTTCTTTCAACTTGTCCGACTGGTACACGTCATCGTTGTTGTTGGTGGTGATGGTATGTAGTCGAAATGCGTGAAAAAATATCTGATAAACGGAAAAACGGTGAGAGACACAGACGGGTAAACGAATGCATTGACACGGAACAACAGATATCACATCCAAACGATTAACTGAACACGCGAATGCTTCCAAGATAACAACTCTATCCTGTACACTAAACGACCATATTGTTTTCGTTCCTCTCTTGCCACTACGGCATTGTGGGACGGGATGGGAAATTGAGTATCCGGAATATGTTGAGTATTTTCAGTCTAACCTGTGTCGGTACGAGTCCTTTCGAAGAAACAATTCGCGAGTAGTTGATCCTTTTCTGGAGTACAGCGAACAAACCTCTTTCAGATATCAATTGTTGCTTTTCTTACCATCGATATCTGTCATGTTTCCTTGCAGATGTGGATAATCCACTAAGTCATCTCAACGATTTGACTGCGATAATGACACTATCAAACGAAAGGAGATGCTGTTGGTGTGCAAAAGTACTAAAATGCGGGGGGGGGGCAGAAGTAATAAAGATTCAATATTTCTATCTTTTGAGGAGGCATCTTTCCTTTGTGGTGTCAGCACAGGTGACTAAAGCGCATCTCGCTGTGAAACCTCTTTAATTATCCCACCTACCTACTGGACGTGAATGATGTATGTGGAAGCCAAAAAAACTAGACAGATGCTTTGTCCTTAGTGAGTCTTATTAGTAGAGTGTAATATTTCTGTGTCCCTGTTGGGATTCAAAAGTTCATTGTTCGAGTCTCGACAGGGATGCACTTGCTATGAGCAAGCACTAACGAGGACAAAACAGTTACCTGGTGCTGTCTGTTGGCTTACACACACGTAAACACACACATAAACAAACCTGACAGACCCCACACACAGACCCCATGTGTCTGTGAATTTGCAGGGACTTGAAGCGATAACGTATTCAACACCTATCCGACTTTGTAAAATGAACTCAGCTATTCTAAACACCATTGGTTTTGGAAAATCAGGACGTTCAAGCGTAAAGTTGTAAGATTATATGGAACGATAATGCTCGAAATTCGTCTATGGCTCAGTTACACTGTATTAAATCTTGACTTATAATACGCCACTGCTAAATTGAATATCACACGTGCCTGATTGTGTGTTCGCCTGTGTGTGTGCTTGTATGGGTGCGTGAAGACCCGTGCAATTCCAGTGGTGATACCACCAAGGGAATATTTCTAACTGTCTCCGAGCACGATACATTTGTCATATAAACAGCCAGGGGCAAGTGTTAGTGCCAAAACGCTTTATTACCGTATGAATGAGCCCCAACTGAAATTGAAGCCAGTTTCTGAGCGCACTGCGACCAAGCTAACTTTCTGAATTGAAACCTATTACTCATGTGTCGTTGGATTGAATTCTTCTGTATGCCGAAAACGATCAGTTCAGTTTATACAGTCACTAAACTTGTACTTATGCGGGAGGGTTTTTGTGTCTATCTTTGTCTGTCCATTTAGATGAAGGAGTATAGAGCATACGTAGAACTCCGGGTCCATCCAAATAACCTGGGATTCCCACCCGGAGACGAGGAATTGCGCTAACCATTTGGGTGTCCCGGTTACATGGCGTTCCAACAGTACGGTGAATTAGCAACACAGTGTGTCCCGGTTTTTTCCAGGTGAAGAGTGACACGTTGATTTTGCGTGACTGATGCACTTTCAGAAATTGACAATCTATGTAAGAACACATGT